CAAAAATGAGAATAGCTCTATGTACCTACATAAAATATTTTCATTACCCATAAAGTAGAAACCAAAATGCGACAAAGTCAAAAATGAGAATAGCTAGAGTCTAATCCTTTGGAAGAGGTAGGAGAATATTGTCTAAAGAAAAAACCATGTTATTTATTAAAATGATAAAAAAAAAAATAAAGCTTTTAACTTTTCAGAGGAGAAAAATGAATGTGAAGAAGGGGGGATGGAAAGTAGTGCATATATATGTGTATATTTTTGAAAATAGGTAATGGAATATATATATGTGTGTATGCGCATATATACGCATGTTTATTGCAACTTCAAAAAAAAAAAAAAAAAAGAAACACTAAAGATATTGTTATGTGGAAATTCAGAGCTTGAACATAAATCAACTGTACAAATTAATTGAAAAAGGAAAATGTACCTTGATTGAATGGCTAGTGATTTCTTCAAATGACCTTAGAATAAAGCAGAAGGGGAGGCACCTAGCTTTTTCCCCCTTTTTTTTGTGCCCAGTGAAACGCTTCTCCACAGATTGCTCGCAAGTTTCTAGCTACGTGGAAAATTTTCAATACATGTAAAGTAGATTTCAAATTAATAGAGATGTTAACTAGCAAAAGTATAAAAAGAAATAAAGGTTATAAATATATAGGAATTAAATTAAAAATTATACCTACTGGCGTAAAACTACTGCTTTTGAGAGACAGAAAAATGTAGTAGATTTTACCAAAATAATGCAATAATCTGTACAAATTAAAGAAAACAATATGAGATGGTAAGTTAGCAGATAAAATCAGAAAGGCTAAAAAGGAAGAAAAAATTAAGAAGAAAAATGATAATCCAAACATTTGTAAAGTCACACGATCATGAAGCTTTTTAGTTACCTTGGAAAATATGGGGCAATGAAGAGAGGAATACAAGGAAAGCATAAATGAGGCTGGAACAACAGTTGTTAATTCTACAGCAAAACCAATTGGTTGGTTATGTCGGGGTTTTACAAGATAGTGTAATTAATAGCAGCTTCAAAAGGAATGAATGTTATAACATAAATGAATTGTATACAAAAGTTAATTGATAGTATAAAATGCACCTTGAGCGATGGAAGAAAGGATAACAATATCGCTAAAGCTTCTCCTCGAATTGTCCGAAAGTACTTACTTTTTAGCCAGCTACCTTCAAGATCAATTTTTATTACATATATGTAAAGTAGAAACCACAATGCAGTAGTTATAAAAGCAGAAAACCAATCTATAGAATCAAAACCTTTGGAAGAGGGAAAGTAAAATCCAAAAAGCTAAAAAGAAAAAAAGATTATGGAGAAAATGCTGGGGAAATAAAAAAGACTTTTGAGTAGGTTTTCAGAGGGTTGCAAAAATGCGGTAGATTGTACTTCTTGGATCTGGTGAAACTTGTGCTTCTTCAATTAGAAGTTTTTGAGATGGTTGAAGAAAATCAAGGAGATTTTGTTCGAAAATGATGCAATCTGCAGAAAAGAAGACAATATAAATTAATACTTAACATCAAAATACCGAAGAAAAAGCCGTAAGTTGAGAAGGAAAATGGGGATTCGAATATTTAAGTGTGTAAAGCCAGATAAACAAGAAGCTTATCATTTACTTGACCTTGGAAAATATGGGGTAATGGAGAGTAGAATGAAGGCAGTGAAAGAATTAGTGGACGCTGGAAAAACAGTTGTTTGTGCAGTGAAATTAAGCAGTTGGTTTGCTGAGAAGAAAGGCTAAATTGTGCTGGACGTCTACAAACTTGCCACTGACTTGGATCTTATGTAGCGTGAGAAATTAGAGAGATGCCACGTCATTGCTATCCTAACCAATAAAAAATGACAACTCGTCAATCATGTAATGCAATGTTAAATTTTTTTCTAAATATACAAATAATTTTTTTAACAACTTTTATTTGTATCTTTTATATATTATTTAAATGACCATTTATATATAATGTTGTGAGTTTTAATAAAATTAAAAGAGTCAATCATTCAATAACAAATAAAGTTTTATGAAAAATTATATAAAAAAATTATCTTTCAATTATTTTTTAATTTTTTTAACACATTTTTAATAATTCACTTTATTTCAAATAATGAAGGATAAAATTAAAAAAATATAAATTAATTGTTATAATAGTTGACATTTTTAATCCATATGCATAATCAAAATAAAATAATTATTGTAGAGATAAGTGTTTGTCAACTTAACTTATAAAAAAATTAGAAAGAAAAATACATTAAAATTATATAATTTCATTAAACTCTATTAAAAAAGATTAAAATTAAATATTTTTACAGGATGAACGAGTTTATTTTTGTTTTTTTTTTTCAATAGTGCAAGGAAGAAGATGGGAGAGATAAAAGAGGAGAAGAGAGAAAAGTGAGGAAGAGGAAGAGGACAAGCCAAATCATGAAGGA